CATTGCGGGCGCGTCTTTGGCTGATAATCTGCAGAGATCCGTTTGGAGTTTATCTCCATGAGCTTCACGAGCATGGCGCGTTCCAGTCGAGTGGTCTTTGTCCCCACTGCCAGAATTCGGGTTCCGACAATGTCCCCATAAACTTCTTGGACAGACCGCGTGCTCGATTTCCTGATCTCTTTGTAGTATACCACGAAGACGGGGCAGCCTTCGTCGACTGTAAGGACTTGGTCGACCTGCGCGGATAATATCCTTTAATACCCTAGCAAACTTGCAAGGCAAACAAAGCACGGACGCGTATTATGCAACCTGATTCCTGTGCCTCGTCCTTTAAGAGGAACATATTGTGTCCCTGTTCTGCATGCGTGGCGAATGCCAATATACACTGCCGCACTTCCATGAATATGTTTCCCTGCATCGCAGTAGTTCCACTGAGCTTCGTAGCTTGGTTCTGCGCCGCCTCTTGTAGATTTGTTCGTTGGACCGCGCCTACGAGATCTCTCGCCAAGCTCCAAGGCTCGAGCGTGGAAGGCTCGAGGGACGCAGATACCAAGACCTCGTTGATGGTTTGCGAGGCATCAAGGGCTTGGCCCAGCCGTTTATCAAGAGCGACATTGGTCATCTTCGTGCCGCGGGGAAGATCGACGTCCAAGGCGGTCAGTTGAGCGAACAGATCTTCACGGATTTGATCCATGATTGCAATTGAGTCGCAGGGTAGATAACCTTGATTGTGCGCACAAAATATGGTAGAAGTTGAGAACAAAAGGCTTCGGCTCGGCCGAGAACGGTCACTGTCTTAACAATTCCTATCCGATGGGTCGGCGCCTAAACGCCTTTCATCCCATATCCCCATCGCCCGCAAAGCTGCTTGTTCTATACACCCATTGCAATCCGTCTATTGAGAAATTCAGTGTCCAGAGCTCTTCTAAAAGTACTCATTCCATCGGATTTATATACCTGGGCCCATTTATTGAGACAACCAAGAGCAGTAACATGGAGCCAACTGGCATTAATATTCCTATACCCGAATGCGCCCCTGAACCTGTCTCGCTATGGCTTGATCTTCATCCTCTGGATGATGCAAGTCATGTACCCCAATGCGACTCAGAGCCTCAAGTTCTATGGCTTGACCTTCATCATCTTGATGACCTTGCCAATGAACCACAACTTGAATGTGACCCTGAACCTCAGTCGCTGTGGCTCGACATGCATCCACTCGAAGGTTTTACCAATGTCGAACCCGAATTTGCCCCAGAGCTCGCCTCTCTTACGGCCATAGAGCTTCGCGATGAAGATGATGTAGACGGTGTAGGTCCAGTAACACCAGCCAAGCAAGCGCGCTCGCCTCTGCCCGCGGCTGAGCACGCCCAGGAGAAGCAGCATGTAGATGTGCCCGCCCAACCGCCCATCGCTGCCGTGCACGCCCCCAGCCAGGCGCCCCGCTCTGGCGGCTGCGCTGTCATGATCGGGCCCATCGCCGAGACTGAGCCTGTGACGCCGCCTGCTGAACTCGTGCAGTGGGTTGTCACCCTGTTTCCCGTTACCGAGCGCGGGTTCTCGAGGGACATCGTCTCCCAGGTTAGGGAGGGGCTGCACATCCGCGTCACCATGACCTCGGCCCGCGCCGCTCGCCATTTCGTCGCTCACTGGGCCGCGCACAATCCATTTTCCGGCACCCAGCGAATGCTCAGCGTCAGGCTCGCGAATGAGCGCGACAACCCCCAAACTGGTCGGTCTGGCTCGGGAAAGTGATGCGGGTCAGCGAGTTGAGCCGTGGCGAGCGTTAGGCAGCGCAAAATATTCCAGAACAGATAATGAAATGTGTTCGGACCTGTTACCAAGTGTTAGTCTCAGCAGTCACAGAGCATTGTGCATTGTAGGCTTTCAAAAATCAAGGTGTTTTCGCGTCCGACACTGTATCTATATGCGAAGGATCATATTATACGGGGAGGGGAGATGTATGTGGATATTGCGTATTGTGTAATAGTAGTGCAGTGTGCGGGCGTAGAATACAGATGGTGAGCGTAGAGACATAGCAGTGAGGAGCCAAAGAAAGCAGTAATAAGCCCAGAGAAGGGGAGGGGATGTATATAGTAGATAGCCGTTTTGGGGTGGGGACGCGAGTGCGAGTGCATAAATAACCTCCATAACCACATCGCCCAAAATCAAACTGCCAGTTTATCCTGCGCCGCGCCGTATCGGAGGATCGCCTCGTAAATCGAGTACATTATCGCCGCATTTGGTATCACGCGCATGAGATGCGCCGACAATCCACCATAGAGAGAGCGCGTGCCCTCCTCCACGATGACGAGTTTGAGCGTTTGCAGGAGCCCGGTGTACTTGGGAACGTTGTTCACGAGAGGTTGACGCAGACGCGTGCGTATAACCTGTTAGCGCCAAAATCATCATGGTCAGTAAAGGCAATTATGAGCAAGGACAAAGTGAAAGACAAACCTCATGAGGATATGTGATTAGACTTGCAACACACTTCGCCGCCCCTGCGCTGCCCAACATGCCCGCCCACTCTGTCGCCCCGCCCTGCCCATCCACGGATGCAGTGAGCTTCTTGAGATGCTCATACAGCACCCACTGGATCGTGCCCTCCGTCACTCCAAGATATGATGCAGAGAGGCCCTTGTAGAAACCTCGGATGCCCTCCTGGCGTAGGATGGTTTTTATCATGTTCCAGCTACCCCCAACTACTTTGGTCCCGTGATCGCTAGCGGAAAGCTGCAGACGTGTCTTGATGACCCATATGGGGTTCGTCGCCGTGCTGGTGACGATGCCTGCTTGCGCGGCAGCACCTAGATGCACCCATGCGTTCTCTTGCCCGTTGTTGAAGTTGTTCGCGATAACCTGCTTGCCGTTCCCGTACGCGAAGAAGTTGATGGAGCGCGCAGGAATAACGCCGACCAGGGAGGGTCCGAGGCCTTTGAAGAGGGCCCGGGGAGATTCATCCCGGTAGATATCACTTGAGGGGTATTAGGGCACAGGGGCTGGGGATAAGGCTGAGACGGCGACTAACCGGAGGATGTGTCCTGTCTCGACGAAATTCCATAATAACCCGCGAGTAGGCAGTGTAGCAGTTAAGGTCCCTCCGCTCCCCCCTGCACCGGCCAAACTGACGTAGTTAACCTGGAAGAGGCTTGACTGCAAGCGTGTCTTCACGACGTCGAACGGGCTCGTTACGATGGCGCCGCACATACCCCCAAGGCTACGATGATATGCCCGCATCAGCAAGGGTAGAGGGATGTATTCATGGGCGACTCACCCCCCTGCGACAAAGTGTCGCCATGACTTTGCTGGGAGAAGGCCGGTGGATTGGGGTGGTGATGCTGCGGCCATTATTGGTCGGGTATCCGGGGCGGGTCTTAGTGTTATAATAAGTCTTCAGAGACAATTAGGATTATGCAGAAGAGGTGCAGGGGGACTGTATAATGATAAAGGGGGAATTGGGGTAGTCGCGGGCTGAAGCAAAGACGCGCTGCCGCCGAGACGCCAAATTTTCGTACGCGTTGCGGCCTGATTACGACACCCGAATTGGAGCCTATTGGAGCTGTCATTCTCACCACTAGTTTGCCACTAGTGCCAGTTTGCTCATCTCCTTTTGAACTCGTCCTTCATCTTCCTTTCTTATTCTACGCTAAATCAGACAATATTAATGTCAACGCCCTTAGAATGTGCTCGGGTGGCGTGCTCAAATGCGGGGACATCAAGGTGCACAGGATGCAAAGGCGCAGAGCCGGAGACATTATATTGCAGCGTTGAGTGTCAGACCCGAGTTCGTACCTCTCCTGGCCACGGTGTCTGGGTATCAACCACAAGCTGAAACATGGGGTATGCAGGACTGGAAAATGTTCCACAAAACGTTCTGCGGCAAGTGAGCATGCACATTGATGCTGCGACAGTGAACTGTCATGGACATTGACCCTGACATCTAATCGCAGGAAAGCGTACACCTTTGAGCTCACCCTGATTGGTTCATCTGACCCAGTCATCTCAAGAACATTTGATGTTCCATCCTGGTTCACGTTTCGCCAGATGCACTACACCTTGCAGTACACGATGGGCCCTTGGATGCAAACCCATTTGCATGATTTTTACTTCGAGAAGATGACCCCTGCTGAAGAGAAAAATCGCAACTTGCTTTCGCCGCGGAAGCCCCTGCTCAAGATTTCGAGCAAAGGTGACCTGGAAGTCGACACGTTCCCCAAACAGGATGAAACAAAGATCAAATTGAGTGACGTGTACGAACCTACTGGGCGGTTGCGCGATGTCGTTGCTCCTGGTGGAGAGCTGGCGACTTTAATCTACCTCTATGACTTTGGGGTGTGTTTGCATCTACTCTAGTGGTACATACATTGATGGTTGCTCCAAAGGATAACTGGGAGCACAAGCTTGTTTTCAAAGGCTCCAAACTAGCGCGTGATGCCCGGCCATTGTTCACTGCTATCTACGGTTAGTGAAATCCACCGTTCAAGTCCACTTCCGCTCTGACCTAATCTAGGCTGCGCTCCGGTCGAGGATGCTGGTGGCTTGTATGGTTGGGAGGAAGTTAAAGCTGCATTCCGGGCAAGTCACCCAACGCCGGAACAGCGAGAGCGGATGAAGTGGGCCAAAGACGCATCTGGCCGCGGTGCCTCTTACAGTCCACTCGCAGAGCCAGATATAATCCCGATGAATTATGAAGGGAGATGGGAGAATCGTTTGAAAGGTTTTATGCAAGATTATGGGGAGAGGTGGAGACCATAAATATCGCAAGGTTGTTCCATCCTGTCGTTGCTAAACAATATATTGTTGACCTAAATTCTTCTCCTTGCTTTATCTGCAACTAACCGGCCATAACATCGCCGGAAATGTCGAAATTGGACCTAGGCGCTCTCACTCTAGCTGCTTTTCCCTTGCGCTTCGGCATCGGAAGTACATCAGTGGCGGAAATTCTTGGGATGCAGGTTCATAGGGCCAGGACATTGGCACGCAATCAGTCTCGTAGCAAGAACGGCCATTTAGCTTAACGGTTAAAAGCATCGCGGCGATTTTTGGTCCGGGTAGGGGCTCCTCAGATTTGAGAGAACTCTATTTGGACCGCACCTGCGAAGAGTTGAGTTCGATTCTCAAAGTGGCCGCTGAATGATTTTTGCAAGGGTACAAATTCTTTGCGGAATCAATGATTGCGTCTCCGCAAGCTGACGGGAAGGGTTGAAACTTGACACCTGGAAGCTGTGGCACTCATTGCTGATGAATAGATGAACATCGATTTCTTCTTCGACCGCCCTCTCGAGGAGTCAATTTGTTTTGTACTTAGATGGCGCTTGAGAGTGCTGTTGTCGGGACTCAGGCTGAGGAGAGCACCTATCGGCCATCCCAGTCAGTGAGTTTGGCTAGCTCATGAAAACTGTAACTCATCGGTGCCCGTTTAAAGCTGGCCATTTAGCTTAGCGGCATAAAGCATCGCGGCGAGATTTGGTCCGAATAGGGGGGGGAAGTCAAACTCATCTCTATTTGGACCGCTTGCGTGAAGAGCTGAGTTCGACTCTCAGAGAGGCCGTCGCGGCAGTGAGTTTTTGTGCCTGAGGAGAAATGGTTCGGTTACATAGCACAACTCCTCGCCAGTGGCCCGAGCGTGGGGTTTATCGCAGCCCATAGTCCCTTTGAATCAAGAAACGTAACACGTAGAAATGGAAACACGTCCCCCGTGCCTGTGTCAGTATGCGAAAAAGACGACGTGGAAGCGACAGAAGCGACGTGCTTTCCGGGGTCGTGCGCGATCATCAGCCAAGCGCCGAGAACACATGGAGGAGCTTCTTCTGCGAGTAGGAGTAGAGTGATAGCATGCAGGACGACAGCGAGGAGACGTATGCGCTTGGAAGAAGTAAGGGAGCGTGGTACAGCTGTTCAACCACTAAAACAAAACATGAAATGGGATTAGCTGGGATTAGACTGTTGTACATTTCTTAAAAGGCATCAAGGACAACATCAGACGCACCCAGACAGGGAGCATTGCCCGCACCGCATAATCATCCCGCTCTGCAGCCCCGGCCTCAACGTACCTCTTCAGCTCCTCAAGCGCGCGACGCGTAATATCCTTCTTCGGCAGCTGGCGCAGAATGACGAAGAGCTCCGCGGGCAGCGTGTATGCCAGTCCGAGCGGATCGAGCGGATCTAGGGCAATCGGCTGGGGCTTCACCGGGGGGATGTACGCCTTCACCCGTGGCATTTTGTTCCTGTCTGCCTCCTTGCCAGTCTGGGACTAGCGGCCTTGAGGGCGTGCTTCTTGCACGCAGTCGGTTACGAGGATGAACTTTGCTTGGCCATCGCTGTCCGGATGAAAGGGTGCAAATGAGGGCTAAGTAGAAAGATGCGATAGTCACTGATTGGTCGCTGACGGGTTTGTGGTATCTTGAGCGCTTATTTCGGTGTTCTTGTTCAAGTCATGTCTGCGGTGGCAACTTTGTTTTATGCGACAAGTAATTAGGTGTATATGTAGCTGCTATGTATGAAGAATAGATAATGATTCTGCGAGCACGTCCATGCCACCGTGGCTCGTAATGGGTTGTAGAGGAACTATGAAGCAATCTGCAACGTGTTGCGACATTGCTGCCAGGCAGATCCGTGGACAAAGTCTGAGAGGTCAAGCTCCGTCAAGCTGGGCACTATGACCGCGGTATTGCTAGGCCAAACGAGGCCTGGCCGATACCACGAAGGAACCCACAGCAATAGCTGAGAGTATGGTGCCATAATCCAGCCGTTTTCGAGTATTGAATTGTGTCTAAAACCTATAGCGCTGTAGGCAGTTTAGCAGAGTGCAAGTGTCTCAACATTTGCATCAAGCGTACCTCTCAGATGTGCATATCACGCTATTTACCTCCCAGACCCTGATTGTGTTGTCCTTAGAGCCCGAGACAATGTGCATCCCGTCTGGGGAAAACGCGACAGATGTGACAGCGTCGACGTGGACTTTGAATAGTGCCCTGGATGCTATGCCGGTCTCAGCGTCCCAAACCCGGACGGTGCCGTCTTGAGAGCCCGAGGCGATGCGCTTGCCGTTGAGCGAGTATGCGACGGACCGGACTGGACCGCTGTGCCCTTTGAGTGGAGATCCAATCGCCTTGCCGGTCTTTGCGTCCCACACCCGAACTGTGCAGTCAAAGGAGCCCGATGCTATGCGCTTCCCGTCGGGCGAGTATGCAGTGGAGTTGATCCCGCGGGTGTTATCAAATGACGGCCCTACTGCTTCTCCGGTCGTCGCATTCCACACCTGGATGGCGCCATTCCAATCACTGGAGACGATGCCCTTCCCGTCTGGCGAGTACGCCACGGAATAGACTTTGCCTTTGCACTCTTTGATCATTATCATTTCCTCGCCGGTGATTGCGTCCCATATCCGAATGGTCTTGTCATCTGAGCCCGAGGCGATGCACTTCCCATCTGGCGAGTATGCGACCGACTGGATCTGGTCGCTGTGCCCTTTTAATGGGGATCCTACCTCCTTGCCGGTCTCCGAGTCCCACCGCCTAATTGTCTTGTCGTCAGATCCCGAGGCGATACACCTACCGTCCGGCGAGTATACAATAGCGCGTACAATGCGGCGATGCCCTTCAAATGGCGCTCCCACTGCCTTTCCAGTTCCCGCATCCCACACCTGGATCACGCCATTTCCATCACCTGACACGATGCTGGCTCCGTCTCGCGAGTATGCCACGGACCAGACCGAGCTCAAGGGCTTTTGGAGTGATACTTGCACTGTCTCGCGGTCAACAATCTCCGCGTCCCAGACCCGAATCGTGTTGTCTGCAGAGCCCGAGGCAATGCGCGTCCCGTCTGGCGAGCATGCAACGGACCAGATATTAGAGCCGTGTCCTTTGAATGGCTCTCCGACTGCATGGCCCGTCTTCACGTCCCACACCCGAATTGTGCTATCAAACGAGCCTGAGACAATGTGTTTCCCGTCCGGGAAGTATGCCACGGAATAGACTAATTTGCTGTGCCCTTCTAAAGGTGATCCGACTGCTTCACCGGTCTCTGCATCCCAGACCCGGACCGTGCGGTCACTAGAGCCCGAGGCAATGTGTTTCCCATCTGGGGAGTATGCCACGGCCCAGACAGTGTCGCTATGGCCTTTGAATGGCAATCCCACTGCCTTGCCAGTCTTTCCGTCCCACACCCGGATTGTGTGGTCGCCAGAGGCCGAGGCAATGTGCTGCCCGTCGGGCGAGTATGAAAGGCACAGTACTGTGTTGGTGTGCCCTTCTAATGGCGATCCCACCGCTTCTCCGGTCTCTGCATCCCAGACCCGAATCATATTGTCCACAGAGCCCGAGGCGATGTGCTTGCCGTCTGGCGAGTATGCAATGCAATAGATGGCCGCGGTATGGCCTTTGAATGGATATCCCACCATCTCACCGGTCTCTGTGTCCCACACGCGAATCATCTTGTCATCAGAACCTGAGGCAACATGCTTTCCGTCTGGCGAATATGCGACGAACCGGACAGCTGCTGTGTGCCCCATGAGTGGTCCCACTGTCACTGTGCCGGTCTCTGCATCTCGCACGCAAACGGTTTTGTCGAAAGAGCCTGAGACGAGGTGTGTACCGTCTGGTGAATATGCTATGGAAGAAACAGATCGGCTGTGGCCTTCAAATTTCTTGAGCTCCGCGGGCCACTGATTCAACTTTTCGCTTTTTAAGCGCATTGTGAAGGGGTATCTTGGGAGATACATCCGAGAGACAAGAGACCCGCGTGGGGCAAAGGGGAGAGCCGATAGGTATATGTGTGGCGCACTCTGGGAGATTGGTGGCACAAACACGTCAATAAATCTGACAGCGTCTCTTGCAAAATCCGCGAGATCTGAGGGATATTTCTAGGCGCGCCTGTATTAGAAAAGGTCAATTTTAGTTAATTGAAAGCCCCTGACCTCGTTCCACCGTAAAATTGAAGCAAGGATTCTGGTTGCCGAGTTCATTTGTCTGGTCAAGCTGAGAACTTCTAGCCAGAAGAGAAGCTTTTCATGCAAGAACACGGCAAGTTTGTCCCTGATTTGAATCTCGTATGGAGCGGCGTCGAGGTGCGTACCCAAGAAACGGCAGGCATACAGTAGATGAGGCGGAATGAACCGCCCTACACGGTCCGGCAGATCCAGCACGTCGGCGTTGTGAACATAAGATGTCGGCAAATCACATATGTTGAACCGAAGCTCGTTCTTCATTACCCCGAGGCACGCCAGAACGAAGCGATGTTCAAGTTGCGTCGGGTCCACAAAGAAAGCTTGACTGCGCTTGGGGTCCCTCAGAAAGTCGAAAAATGATGCGTGGAGGGCAAGGATGGGGGTGTCTGACTGAGCCGTACCGTGCAGGAGTGAACCGAGAGGTCGCACTATCTTTTCGACGTCATCTTTATCCTCGATGACGAGCTGCAGCGCAGAGTGTGCCGGGATACATAGGGGCTCTTTCGCCGTTAAGATGCTGCCCAAGACACGTTTGAAACGCGCCATGACCTCCACGTCGCCCTCGTTGAACGTGTGGCGGAGGATTTCGATGTAGAGGTTATCCAAGCCACTTGCCTCTTTCACGAATTTATCCAGACGTTCTGTCGGATCATATCCATGCGGTCCATCTCGAATGGCTCGACATGCCGTTGCAGCCCATTGGAAGTGGTGGCCAGATGCGACGACGAGCAGTCTGATCCATTCGCCGTTCGGCCACTGTTCTTCGAGGACCTCAGCGATGTCGGCCAACTCATGCTGTAGAAACTTCGCGATATCTACGTCGGTGGCGGCTTCATCCATATCATCCACGTATTGGATTTCGACACAATGCTTATCTTTGAAGCCTTTGATGATATCAAGCTCGGGACGTGTCGTGGCGAGGATTCGAAAATTGCCAGGCAGCTGGGATGCGCTCTTGGACAAGATCTGAAGGAGAGCCCTACGAGCCGGCCCGTCTCCACTCTCATCCAGTGCGTCAATGACAACGACTATAGGACCGGTTATCGGGGCGTTCGCCGCGGGCCCTAGTACAAGATCCTGCATTTGTCGAGACGGGGCAGTGGATTTACGGAGCGGCTCGTCGTTTTGAATGGCATGGTACAGTGACAACTTCCACTGAGGATCCAGATCTGCGATGTCCTT